AAGAGCGGAGAAAAAAATTTCCAGGGAAGGAACAAAAACTGGTCTTTGTCCAAGCCAATGATCAAAGGCCAAAGTCAGCTTTGTAGGCAGTGGGGGTTTTTTAGTCATGGATTTTTAGGGATTACATAAAAAATATAGTTAACATTATATAGCATCATCAAGTACTGGAAATATAAAAAAGACCAGATTAGTGACTGCATATCCCATGCAGATGCAAACTGGCCCCTTTGTTAATCCATCTGTGCTCTAAAAAAGGCAGGATTTCCATGGAAATTTCTTTGTGGTGACCTTACTATCTCTTGTAATGCCAAGTACTTATAGGGCATGCATCATGATAAAACCAATCTTTTCCCTACTTTCCAAAAAAGTCAAAGTGCTTGCCTTTAGAAAACATTGTTACTATTCCATATCACAACTCTTGGCCACTGGTCCTTCTGGTGTTAAAGATAACAGCCTTTTTATTGGGAGAAATGCATTATTTCCTCTCGTTCAACATCTAAACCACCTGAGGTTTTGCAAAATTAATCTCAGAATTTCTTAAACAAAGTTTATTGATCTCTGACCATGTTACGCTAGAAGTCTGTTTTGCTTAGGAACCCTTTATGGTCAACAAATGCAGCTTATAGGCACTTCAGAAAGATCTGAACTGTCCAGTGGCAGAACCTGTCTAGACTTTACAGGCAATGGGGGGTAACTTTGTTCCGTAGCTAGATGGGAACAATCTACTCTGAAGTCCAATCTATGGGGTAGTGGAAATGTCTGTACATCGTTATAAGTACACATACATAGTTTTCATGATGGATCTCCAAACTGAAATACGTTAATGTCAGTATAGATTTGTCAGCTTAGAGTAGTTTTTTTCATTATGTATACATTTGTTATGTATACATTCACTTAAAAGGTGCACGTGAAAAATTTCAAAACAAGTTTTCATCTCCTTATTTGGGTTTTTTGCTTCTACCCTGTGTTTATGCTTCCCAATCTTACAGCAGCATGGCTTTCTTAATGGTTACTTTTGATGCAGTCCTGTCACTGGGATTGTGAAATTGCAGAATTTTTTTTACTTTGAAAGCACATTATGAGGTTTCTGTCATTTTTAAGATGTCTGTATGATATAACTTGATCTTAATTAAGTATTTTAAAAAAAAGTTTCTAAGCAGAAGTTACTAATAAAGACGGAGGAAAAGAAACTAATTGCATGCCTCATTAAGATTTATACCATTTATTGGATAGGTCAGTAAAACATTCTTAGCTTAACTAGGAAGTGTGAAATACATTTCCTTGTCTAGAGGAAAGAATCCCACCCTGACATCATAATTATTGTTAAATATTAACAAATTTTGTAATGTTGTCTGACTTATCCCTGACCGTAAGCTTAATTTCCTGGGCAAATTTCCTGTTTTGAAAAGCTCTTGCTCCTATGAAATGCTGAAAAATACATTATCTGCATGATCTCTGTGTCTCAAGAGTATCAGGTGAAAACCTGCCAGTCGTTTCACAGATATATTGAAAAAAAATGTTACTTGTGAATTAGGTGTACAGTTGCATGTCTGATTTCCCATCTAACCCTGCAATTCATAACTCATGAAAATCGAGTCCTGTCGTCCCATGAACTAGACTTGCTGTGAAGGCAGAGCTAGGAGGAAGTATGAATTCCTGCTCTGCGCTTCCATGTGCATTCATTGCCCAGGACTAGGACACTGATAGAAATAAGTGGATGCTTTGCTACTTCTTTGTGCCCGACTAGTGGGTTGGAGCCATGGCATCAGCCTTCTGGCTGGCGGCCACAGCCCCTGAGCCATCGAGAGCGGGCGTATGGTGCTCGCATGCTGGCATATTCCAGCAACAGATTACGAACATCATTCTGTTCCTGCACAACCAAGCGGAAGCAGGGCAGGAATTGTGGTTCACAGGTGTCTCTCTGAGTCACAGCCTCTCCTGGGGCTACTTTCATAACTGTGCAGCTTTCACATCGGTTTAGGCTCAGGTCTGTGCCTCGTCTGAAAAAGTGTTTGCTAGGAGTGCATCAGTCGTAGTAGTTCATTCAAGTATGATTTCACATCATTCTGCAGCATGTTCCCTTTTCTTTCATTCTATTCAATTTCATCTTCAATGCATTTCTGTGGCTTAGCAGTTAAAACTTTGCCCATGTAAAATAAGTGACTATAAAACATTGGAGAAGGTCACTCGGAATACAGCCAGTGGTAGACTTCTCTTGGCATTTTACTGCTGAAAATGCAACATTATTTTTATCTTTGCTGCCACTTGGCAGTATCTCATGACTCTCACTCAGTCATTTATTGTTGGTAAAATGGCACTCTTTGGACAGATACCCTATTATGAATCATAAGAAAATAATTTTGCCCACATAAAATTGCGTTAGACTACATCTATACGTCACTAAGAATAATCGTTGCTCTTGTCCACAAATACGATGCTCCTGAATACTTTACAGTGGATTTTCACTGTACTTTAAGGCAGTCTTTTGAGGAGACGGCAATACAGAGGACAAATGGAAACACCAAGGAAGCATAGTTCAGCAATTAAACCATTCTACTTTTTTCCTTTTACTTTCTTAATGTTTTCAAGCTTTTGCTGCAAAGCATATCATTAACCACTTGCAATACCATGATAGAGAAACTTATGCATTGAAATGCTCAAATTTCACAATACATCAGCTGCAAGAGGTAAAGGACATATTTTGCCAATTCAATGCAGACAGCTTTGTGTCCATACTGCTCCTGATTTAAGCTGGCTGAATGCAAGCGATATTTTGAAGTTACGCTAGACACAAGCTAATGCACCCTTGCTCTCAGTAGAACCCATTCACTCATGTCCAGCCCTATTATAATCCAGCCATATGGCTCCCAAACTGGAGCTGGCTCAAATCCAGTCAGCTTGGAGCACAGGTGTGACTGTCTGCACCTGAGAGATAAGCATGAGTTCAGAGAAATCGCTGATGTGTGGTTGAATGGTTGTGATTTTGGGGGAGAGAACAGGGAGTGTCTTGCATATACACCAGCTAGTTGTACCTCAAGGCCTTCAACAGATTCTTCCAACAGAAATTGCATCAAAGTTCTGAATCCGAGTTCAGCGAAGAACAAAATATTTTAATTTTGAAGTGCTTTTTTAATGAGTCACCTCTGGTTTAATATATATGCATGTACAATATACAACAGATACTATAAACAAGTATACAGTGTACTTGCTACCCAGTCCTTGCTTCCTGTAACAACTAGGTGTGGTAGACTGGAGGTTCACTGCCTGGTTGATATACATTAAATTAGTCCAGGTGTCACTGGATTCTGCAGAGTGCGCATTTAGAACACCTGTAATAATTCACATTGCAATTTTAACAGTAGTTTGTTACTATCAACCCTTTACAGCAATTCAAAAGAAGTCTCCGGGAGAGGCTTTATTGAAAATACTTTAATTAGAGACTGAGTTATTTTCCCACATCACCTAAGTAAAAGATACTGTATGGTTATTATAGCCTCATCCCTACTTCTTCTGCTTTATTACTTTCCATAAAATTCTCAAGAAACATAAATCCTTGGAATTTATTTTTCTGCTTCATTTCTTCAGAAGCATTATACTTCATTTTTCTTAAGTAGATCATTTAAGAAATAGATCAAAGCTGGGCTACTGCTCTTGTTTCAAAGACCCCATTTCAGCACAGGTCTAAAGCAGATTTCTGAAGGTGTTCTGAAAATATTGGTGGGCACTTCATAGGGATTTCTAAAAGCACATGGTCATGAAATGTACTTCATTACCTTTGTGTTAAAATAAAATGATACTTAAATTATATCAGGGCTTTTTGAAAGCTGTCTTGGACCTTGTAACTGTTAATCCTTAGCTGCACGTGTATGTGTGCTTAAGGACTTTGCTGAATCAAACCAAGGTGACCAGGCAACCATGTGGCTATTTTTGATCATTTTGGTCCCCAGCAAATTCTATACAGTATGATGATCTATTTCTTCTTTTCCTACATCCCTGTTAAATGAGATGTTTGAGGAGACCTGAGCCAAGGGAAAGGTTTTGCAGTCTCGTTTGGATAGCTATTGTTCTTCTTCCCTCTCCGTTTCCATTTTGTAGCCCTCCATCTGCAACAGATCCAAAAGGCCTCATTTGAAGAAACTTAAGAAAAACAGAGATGGGCTTAGATAGCATAACTAATTACAGAAACGCAGAAAGTTTACTTTTGTATATAACGATTGTGACTATTTCTTGGCATAACGTCTGTTCTGGAGAGTCTTGTTTTTATGAGGAACGGGAGGATTTGGCTGCTGCTGCATTAGAGCAGCTCACAGCGAAGTACAAAGATTAAATGCTTCTAAACTGAAGCTACAGACAAACAGTGTGTAGCATCAGCTGTGAGGAGGGTGCTTTCTGTGCCCAGTAAGTCTTGTCCCTAAATCATCTAAGATGTACTGCTAGGATGTGATAGCAGATTTCCATGAAAGTGTATGACCCAAAGTGCGATTGAACCAACCTAAAATTCATTGTGTTGTTTTCTTTATTCTGTAGCACTTACAGGTTTGTTGAACGTGCAGATAGTCCTTTCGGTATTGGAATATGGAATCATTGGAAAACTAGTCAATAAAGATCTTCAGTCTGGGATTCATCTGATCTGTCTTTGCCTGCTGTGAAACAGTTAGTCCAAACCAGCTGTTTAGGCTCCCTGAGTGTCCAGTGGGTTCCTTTTTTCATTATCAGATAGCTAAAAGCTACGGGATACTGACTTCTCAGCTGAGGGAGCCTGGACACCAAGCTTCAAATAAACCCCACACCAGATGTGTAGTTGTTGGCTTTGTCCCTGTTCTGATCAGCCTCAAGTAATTTTCTGTATTTCTAGTAAATGGAGAGTTATGGGGATCATATAAGAAAAGCAATGAGCACTCAAGACAGATAAAGCCAGTGTAAAGATGAAGGAAATCCTCATCTATTCAGTCATTTTTTACCATAAACACTGGAGTGGTGAAGTTGTTAGAAGCAAAACGAGTGGAGTTTGCAGAGCATAAGAAGTCAGGACTAAGCCTTTATGCATATCCTTACTCAGCCAGGGAGTGGCTGGGATGTTACTGACTAGTTTTTAGGACATATACCTTGGAGACTCCCTTGTGAAAAGGTTCTTGTTGAGTAAGTTTTACATGGCAGAAAAGAAAAAAAATTGAGAAAAAAGTCCATGTTGCAACTTTGGGATTATTTTTTTTTAAAAAGTGGTGAATTTCTAATTGTTGTTTTCTTTCCACAGCTGCTTGCAGAGGACTGGCCTTTTGGTGTCGAAATGTGCAAATTGGTACCCTTCATTCAAAAGGCATCAGTGGGCATCACAGTGTTGAGTTTGTGTGCCCTCAGTATAGATAGGTGAGACCCATGTTTTTCAGCAGACTGTAATTCCTTTTCAATACGGGCATTGGCTCAAATTCGCCCTTCCACTCAGCTAATACAATATGAATAAGCTGAGTTTAAGCTGGTTAAACCAGGTGGGTTTTCTTATATTTTTAATTTGCAAATGCATGCTTTTGTTTCAGGTACCGAGCAGTTGCTTCTTGGAGTCGCATTAAAGGAATTGGAGTGCCGAAGTGGACTGCTGTTGAAATTGTACTGATCTGGGTTATATCGGTGATATTGGCTGTTCCAGAAGCTATCGCATTTGACATGATTACGATGGAGTACAGAGGAAAGGATCTTAGAATCTGCCTGCTTCACCCCATGCAGAAAACATCCTTTATGATGGTAAGACACTGATGTTTATAAAATCTCTGGAACAGTTCCTTGGATCTTGTCACTGTTGTGTGTATTGTAATGTGCACAAGGGTATGTGAAATGTCGGTGAATATAATGTTAAATGAAATACTGACAGATTTCTGAAGTATATTGGTTAAAAGAAGAGCATTCAGAACTTTTGTCTTTTTGGGGGCTTTGGGCATGTTACTGTCTTGTCCCATTTTCTCTTTTCTGTAACGTACACCTTATAGAGACGCTTTTCAGGACAGACTGAACAATTAGCTATAGCACAGTTTCCAGAATGCTCAACATTCAACTCCTAACAAAATTTTTGCTTTTGTTTTCCTTCTAGTTTTACAAGCAAGCTAAAGACTGGTGGCTGTTTAGCTTTTACTTCTGTTTGCCACTGGCTATCACAGCATTTTTCTATACTCTCATGACGTGTGAGATGTTACGAAAGAAAAGTGGGATGCAGATTGCTTTAAATGACCACTTAAAACAGGTAAAAATTTATCCCTGACAACTCTGTGGGCTGTAGAGAGGATGGCAGTGATTCCTTTGCCGACTTTACTGCTGCATCATTATTCTGTTCTTCTATAATAACTTCAAGATTACTACTAAGGAAACGCTTCCTAACAGTGGTGCTGCTGAACTTATATGTATGTTTATCCCTCAGATACCTAAGATTTTCACTGGCAATCACAAAACTTTTTTTTTCTTGTTTGGTGTCAATCCTTCAAGTTTTATAGTTCTTATATTTTCTTTACAATAATGAGAGCTGGATATTTTGTAATGAAAACTGAGGTCGTGCTGTAATGTAGAAGCTGGTGCTGTAAATTTGTTAATTATTTTGAATCGATTTCATGCTGAACTATAGTGAGGTTAGCAGTATATGCTGGCAGAACAAACCACGTTCCAAAACACATTCCAAGTTAGCAGTGCACCAGAGACAAACATCATACGTCACTGGAATTAAGCTATATTTGTACTATAAAGTATATTTATGCTTCTTTGCTCTTACCTCGATAAAGCTGTAATTGAAATCTCTTGGGCATTTAAAATAAGACCTGAGATCAAAGCGCAAGAAACTACAATTGAAAACAAGCTGGTATTTGAAAGTGACTGGGGAGACAAATATGTTCTTCATTTTAATTCAAACGGCTGTTTTTATGTCCTTGACTTTTTCATTTTATTACTCATACTTTTTAAAATTTGAGATACAGAGAATCAGTGCAAGACATCTAAAACAATAGAGAGATTAAGTACATATTCCAAGAAAATAAGGTATTCTGGTGTTCTCCTAATTCCTATTTTGTTAGGGGCTTTGTTTTGTTTACTAAACATTTGGATGTTAGAAGACAACAACAATCAAGAGACAGACAGAAACTATAACGCTCTTCTGTCCAATTTTTTCAGAGACGTGAGGTGGCCAAAACCGTGTTCTGTCTGGTACTTGTTTTTGCCTTGTGTTGGCTCCCACTCCACTTAAGCAGAATATTGAAGCTCACTATTTATGACCAGAAGGACCCCAACAGATGTGAACTTTTAAGGTGAGACTGTAAAAATAAAATGCCTGTGTGCTGCTGACGTTCTCCCTAAGCATATTTGGATTTCCCAAGGAACTAGCTTACTCCATGTGTCTGAAGTTCTCCCTGCATCTTCATCCAGGACACTCTCGTTTCACTCTAGCAGCAGAGTCAGGAAATTATGAGGAATCCCATGAACACAGGGGCTTCTGTCCTGTTTGCCTGTCTTCTCCTGATCTCTTTTGGGACTGTCCTGTTGTCTTGTGGCGTTACGAGGGCTGAGGGCGAACTTCTGTCCCTGTTTTCCCTTTTAACAGAACAGATAGGATTAAACCCGTGAAGAAAACCTCATGCATGTTTCCTCCAATAAGTTAAGGTGGTTGGATCTTCTGAAATTACTTTCATGAGAATGGTCTACCAATTCAAACTTTATTACTGAGCCTCCATGAGTTAATCCCATTGATATAAACCCTTTTACTATTACTTCTAATAGGCATGGCTGAGTGAAGCTGAGTCCAATTTTCATAGCTGTAAACCTCTACTAAGCCTTTTCAGAGAAAATTTACTTACACTTACTCTAATTTCCACACAGCTTTTTTCTTGTGATGGACTACATTGGTATTAACATGGCTTCACTGAATTCCTGCATCAATCCGATAGCTCTGTATTTGGTGAGCAAAAGATTCCAAAACTGCTTTAAGGTAAGAGGCTGCTGGGAGGTGCTCCTCTGGTTAAAAGATGATGTCAGCAGTAAAATTCATTCTTTAACATAACACAAAGTGTTTTAACTGGTCATTAAATTTTACTTTGAATTTTAACTGGGTTATGGTAGGTGGTGTCTTTCATAGGGACAAAAAGAGAAAGCAAAAGAGAGGAGCGTACAGTAAATCCTCTCGGCACCGTGCTAATCAGTGCTACATCACTTCCTGACTGGAGCTGGCACCCCGCTGCTTTGAGAGCACTGACAAAGCAGACTCGGACTGTGCTGCAGAGATTCACGTAGCCATATCCTCTGCAACCCAGAGGGGAGGGTGCTGACCCTGGGTTCCCCCCATCCTGATCAAGCGCTTAAATCAGTCGGCAGCTATGTAAGGCAGAGAGTGCAAGTATCCAGTTGCCCCTTTTCAACACCAACATTTTATGAGACAGACCTGTCCGTAGTTTTGCCTTGGTTTGAGTGAATGGTCCTGGGCACTAATTCTCCACACAGGATCTGAGGCTCTGGATTGCATGCGGATTGCAGCCCAGCAGTCCTTCAGCCTTCATGTCTGCTCAGAAAATGTCCAGATTTGGGCTTTTTTGTGTCCCCTACCCTGTGTCTGTCTTCAGACACTGTATCAGGGTTCTTACATTGCCTGCCACAAATTCTTAGATTTTTCTTTTCTTACCAAGCATTTAACCATTGGCCATTGCTAAGCTTATTGCCTGGCTGTGTAAATTCCTTACTGGCTGCGTCTTTCCATCAGAAGCCAATCAACTCTACATCTAGTAGCATTAGGGTATTTCCCACATAACTGTGACAGCACATGCTGCAGAGGTTTTAGTGTTGGTCTCATCTTCCCTGTCTACATTGCTGGCTCCCTGAAAGACTTACTGGAGCTGCAAGCACGTAAGAGGTCTCTAGCATCCTGAGCATGGAAACAAGTGGGTGTGCAGGATCCCAGGATCCCAGATGGACTTCCAGCACCCAAAGGCCAGTCAGTAGCCTCAGCAAAAGGTCTGCAGTACATCTAGTAAATGTATGAACTGTATGTAGATTTTTACCATGCCTCTCCTTAGTTGTCTTTTTCCCCCCCCTCAAAAAAATCAACTGAACAGCAGCGTCTTGCTTAGGAAGTATAGATTACTATACTACACTTTTTTCCAAGAAACATTATCAGAGAAAGGGACGACAAGGAGTCATAGTTTTATTTTCAGGTGCATTTAGAATTGCAGACCAGACTCACAAGAAGTATGTGTGTGGCTATTATTGTATACAACTCAATATAACTCTTCCTGCTCTCCAGCACTCAGGTTGCTAATGGGGCATCCCAGATGTTAGTGGCCATTTGAGCAATGTCAAGCTTAATTTTGTTTCTTTGCTTACGCTGTAATCCCAAAATGGCAGCTTTTACCCTTGCTGTTCCCTGCTGTACTGCTGAAGAAGGGCAGCATTTCAGTGCATTTTGCCACATGCGCAAAACAAAATGATGTAAAATGTTTATTCCTTTTATTTTAACAGTCATGCTTGTGTTGCTGGTGCCAATCCAAAGATCTGTTGTCCCTGGAGGAAAGGCAGTCCTGCTTAAAGTTCAAAGCTAATGAACATGGATATGATAATTTCCGCTCCAGTAACAAGTACAGCTCTTCATAAAGCAAGCATAAAAGGTATATTTGCTTACATGAATGATGGTGCCTTTTTAAGTAAAAGTGGCAATTACTTTTAACTAGATGGTAACGTTTAGAAAAATCTAATATTATGTTTGCACAAAAAAGGTTATTAAAAAAAATAATTGCCCCAAAACTGTGTCATGTTCAAAATCATGGATGTTCATAAAATTGTCATGTATGGAACATGAAGAAAAGTGTAGAAAGAACAAGTCATTGTTAGCACTTGAATACTTCTGAATCAGCACTTCCAAATGATCCCCACGTCCTGTACATTAAACGTTCATTTGTATTATCACTATAACTGTTGTAGGAACTGAAGACAAAGTAATTACTAAGCAGTATAATAGAACATAAATTGGATCAAAGCCATTATTATATAAAAATCAATGTATTATCTTTTATAAAGCAGATTAACCACCATCACTACTGTGTTGTTTTTTTTAAATCTAACATGAAATACTTTGTAATAGAAGTTTAAATGTAAAAAAGTAGAATTTTTATCAGGGGTGTTATAGAGGTAGCTAATGAAAATATTAAAGGATGCAGTCAAGTCAAAAGTGCATTTCACTCTGATGATTGTTTTTACCTATTATTATTGTTAGAAGGAACCTCCCGAGGCCTCTATAAATACCGTTTTGTAACCACTTGGTGTGTTCGGTGCATTCGGCAGCATGTTGGGTATGGTCCCATTTCACTGCTTCCACATTATCTGAGTTTAATGACAGCAGAGTAGAGAAAAACACACCAAAAGCAAAAATTAGTACTACTAGAGCCATATAAACAATGGCTAGTGTTGGAAACTGGCTGTTTTTAACTGAAAACAAATCGATTGTGTCCCATGTAAACTCAAGATACTTTTGTGACAATTTACAACTGTTTTTGCAATCCAAACACTGTCTTGGGGCAAAATCCTTTAGAAATAGCAGGTGGAAAAAATGCTACCAAGGTAAACAGAGAATTTGAACTTCTATTTTCATTTAGATTTAAATCTTCATTAAAAAAATAATTCACGAACTGTACTTCTAGAGAACAGTAATATCGTAGCACACTCATCTTCAGACTGCTTTGAAATATGTTCTACTTCTGTAGTTCCATATTTGTGGGCTTAAGAAGATGTGATTAGTTTCTGCTTCTGTAAATAGTTTAGTGAAGCGTAATTAATTATAAAGTATTACAATATGGGCAGGACCCTGTGAGAAAACAGAAAGGTAAAGATGCCTGTAGTAAACATGATGTGTGTTGCCAGGAGCAATGCACATTTTGTGCATACATGACAGGTCATTCTTTGGCTTTTCATTTCCTATTGATTTGTTACAGATGTCCCCAAAGACTTATTAGTATATTCCATGCACTAAGGCATGAGTTTTTCAAGAAAAAATGTCACAAAACATGCTTTTATAAAAGACATGTTTTCAATAGGCATGGTATTTTATTATAATAAAAATATTTATCAAAACTCAGGAATTTTTATTTTATTTCCAAATTTCACATGTAAGGATTTTTACTGTTTTTTCCAGTCTTGATTAACTTCAGATTTTTTAATAAACTGCCTTAAATATGCTCAGGATGGAAACAATTTCTCATTAAAATGTTCAGCTGATGTTGCCTTAGATGAGTTTCATCTCATCTGACTTTAGGTAGCTACAGCTACCTTGCAAACAGCTAAAAACAGAACCCCGTTCCTGGCGTTGCCCCATCAAAAGCTAGTAAGTGTATGCTTGTATAAGCAAGCTGAGGACCTATGCACATGCATTTGAGCATGGGCACGTGTGTGTATGTGTGTGTGTGTGAGTATGTGTGCAAGTGTGTACGTTGTCTACCAGTAAGTTGCTGTTACCTTCTTCCTGCAGCATGTGCACCCAACTGCTATCATGCTGAACTTTTATAAATATTAAACTATTTAAAGTTTTGTCCTTTACAACTTTACCTTAACTTTCATGGTAACTTTCTCATGGTAAGCCGTGAATATCACTTCACTTCACCCTGCCTGCATCTATTTCTGTGAAACGTGTTTCATCTGTTAAGGATGGATAATCAATTAAATCCTAAGTTTGATATTGATCAGTGTTATTTTCATCAAGTTATATCTTTACAATATTGTACATGTATATTATTGTTATTTTTATTTAAAATATAGCTGTTGTATTGGCAAATGTGTATCATATTTTTCATTTTTTCCTTGACTAATTCTTTGTTAAGACAACCTGCTAAGTCAGACATTTAGGATTTGCAAATAAAGACTATATACACTGCCCACTTTTTGGAGTTAACATATATGTATTAGTACACTTTTTGTCTTTTTTTTGCAGTATTTTTGAAAGCAGTATTTTTGCTGAGGCTCTCATTTTGTGTAATAAAAATTTTCCAAACTTCTGCTCTCATATAGTTAAAAGAATACACAGGAGAGCTCCAGTGCATCTGTGTTCTAGCTAAAATTAAACCTCTTAATACTGACGACAGGCATTTTCTAAAGTCCTCAGTACATGTCTATTCCTCCATCCGCTGAAATCGATGAATGTTTAACCGTTCGATTCAGCTGGAGCAGAATTGGGGCACAGCAATAGCTCTTTCAGAAACCTAGCTGACATTGGCTACCTTGAATTAAAAAAGCTAAATACTAATTTTTTTTTTTTTTTTGTTGACAAAGGAGTTGTTTAGAAAAGTTAGGAAAAGAGGGTAATATCAGCCAGTCTAAGAGTCTCTTAGCCTCAAACATGGTCACGGGTAGCAGAACAACTGGGGAGAGGTACATGCATCTTTATAGGAGTGTGACGTGCTTGCCCAGAGTGGTGTGACAGAGTAAGAGTCATCTGTCCCAGTGGCCTGAAGAGTTGACACAGAACGTCTTGAGATGAAAAAAAAAAAAGTTGTAAGAAACTACATCACAGCTCTGTGTTTTGGCCTTCGGATAGTAGCTAGGTTTTAATTCCCCAGCTGCTCTGAATTCTGCCTGCACGCAGCTCTCTTGGAGTTACGAGAGGGCATTTCAGACTGGGTGGACTGAACTAATACACTGGTACTACACCTCAGAGAATCAAATGCAGAATTTGATGGTTATGAAGCATCTACTGTGAGCTGTGGCATTTCACTGTCCAAGATAGCTCTTAATCAACACACAGTTGGCTTAGCAAGTGAATGTTGTATGTACTGAAATAATGTTAAAAGGATTTTTTTTAATTGTTCTGTATAGCTGTGTAAAATAATTCTAGAATTCGTTTTCTTTTCTCACTTGAAATAACAACTGTGGTTCAGACAGTGTAAACATCCTAAGTTACCAATAAAATATTTGTAATTTTGATTATTACAAAAAGACGTCTGACCTTTTTTCTTCTAGGAGGTCCCATTTAATTGTTGACCAGTGACAGTGATGTAAAAAAGACATCAGCAATTCAGAACTAAAAACCAAAGCTTTGGAGTGGGGTAGTTTTATAGAGCTGAAAACTGGAGAGAGTTCAGACTTGCGTACGCATTGCAAAACAGTCTGATGTTCGTTGGAACAGTCGTGCCTGTCTTTGCTCTGTTTGTTTTTGCTCAAAATGTCAGTTGCAATCTCTTCTCTACACATCCATATATAGTCACAAATCCTCCTGTGTTAGGGACATCACAAATAAAAGGCATGAAACTTTTAGTTTGTTAATTTAGAAGTGCATACGCTCAATACCGGTATATGCCTCATGAAAACTATCATCCCTTTGCATGCTGACAGTGTAATTTTGTGCATATTTCAATTTACCTGTGTTAAAGCAGTGGAAAACAGTATTGGACTAAATAACACTGTAGCTGGGCAAATATATAACTTTATATGCTTGCAGTATCTGTACATCCTAAAAAGCGTTTGCTGTTACTGCTGGTTTGTTCCAAATAGTTAGGTTTCCTTCTGTTTAATTGGTGGCCTGCTGCATCCATGTAGATTTGTCTTTTTTCATGGTCCCAGGACCTTTAGGACATAGTTTCATGTTTCCTGTGCCTGGAACAGAAGCACCTGTAGAGGTGAGATCCCTTGCAAGTAAATTTTCTACTTAATATCTTTCATGGCCTCTTCACTTCCTTTTCCGTCATTTTATGCTATGGGGCAAAGTCTTCACCAACCATTCATTACAAAGAAGCATTCTTTGCATATTTCTTTTGAGATCCTACAGCTTTCTACAGGTAGGCCACAGTCTTCACAGTGCAGCTGACTTACTCCCTTGCTACAATTCACTTCTCTAACTATTGGTCTCATCCACAGATTTATCTGCTGCAGCCTTGGCTCTTTCATTTAAGGGATTAACTCCAGCTTGTTGTCAGTTTTCTAAACACACTAGAACTTACATAGCAACATGGCTATACATATAGTTTACATTCTTCAAACACTGACTCACTCTAATCACTCTTGAGAAGGGTAGATTTGGCACTCTAGTGTTGGTGGAGAAGGGTGGTCCAACTGGCAACCTGTGGCTGGGTCTGGCCCATGGAGTGGTTCACTTTACTGTACCTTCCTACAGCCTGCTGTTCAGACCGTCATGTTCTTGTAATCTGCTCATGAAGGCCCAAGAGTTTTCCATGTACAAGCTCTGCACTCCTGTTCAAATTTCTAATCCAAGTTGCTGAATGGATGTCCAGGACGTCAAGAAAGACAAAAGGACTCAAAATGAGTTTCCTGTGTTCTGCTGTTCACCTTTCTTAATCAGCAGTGGTAAGATTACTGTATTACACATCATCAGCAGTCAGATGCTTTATTGGTTTGCGATTGCTAATTTAGAAGCACTATCATTAAAATGCTGGCATCCATGTGGTCTTGTCAGTCTTTCTAAGTACTGTCATTTAGCTGTGAAGGAGGTCCTAAAGTTCACCCTCACCACTGAAAAGGCACATCCCCCCTTCAGTCCTCTTTCTTTCTCTTGAACAAGAAAACTATCACTTCTAGTAGAAGAAAATTCTACTACAGTTACGAGTAGAACCTTCAGAAATAGACGTTTTACCTTAGTAATCAGTAACTTAAAC